AGGCGATTAATTGAAGGCCGCGCCGCGTCCCTTTTTTTTGCAGTTTCGCTAGAGACATTCTCGACATTCTGAAAATCGGTGGCACTCCTCACACAGATCGTGACGTCAGGTTCCAAAAACACATGATAATTTCAACATTCCAACATAAAGCCTTGAAAAACACAATGTCATTTCAATGATGTTGATCCCGATTCTCAAAGGATGGCGGTTTCGCCCGAGACATCCTCCGAAAATCGAGCCCCGACGTACCTTCTGGTACCCCAGACCCCGCCTCGGAGCCTCCTGGGGGCCTCCTGGAACCTCCTGGGGCCTCCTGGGGCCTGCTGGGGCCTCCTTGGGCATGCGGTCTCTTGGTCGGGCTTCCTGGAGCCTCTTGCGGCTTCCATGGACATTCTCGCAACTTCGAGCCCAGACGTACTCTCCTTCGGCCTCCTGGGGCCTCTTGCGGCCGCCAGCTTCCCCTTCTCCATCTCCGATCCCGCCGTCATGGTGTCTTCCTGCTCCAAACGACCTTCCAGTTTTTGTATAAGCCTGGGCACACACGTGCCATTTGTATATCTATAGAAATGTATATATGTGCTTATATACATATATATACATTTATACATCGGTATACATATATATATATATATATATATATACACCACCACCCGGCCCCGGTTCCCACACCTCCCCGTGACATCTCGGGGACGCTCCCGGTACCGCTCCCCCGACCTTTCTGTGGAGCCTCCACAGCGCCCCAGGAGGGCCCAAGACGCCTCCCAGGAGCCCCCAGAATGCGAAAGGATGGTCCAAGACGCTCCCAAGCAGCCCAACTCAGCCTTCCGACGGCTCTTGAGGCTCCCAGAGGCCTCCAAGAGACCTCAAGAGAGGTCCGAGAGGCGTCCCAGGACGGCCCAAAGAGGCCAACATCGCTAATTTTGAATGGTTTTTCTATGTTTTTGGTCTTCTCGCGTTTTCGAGCTTCCAACGCTCCAAGAACGCCGAAGAGACGCCCAAGACCACCCCGAGACCACCCAAGGGACCCTCAGGACGGCCCCAAGACGGACCAAGAATGCTCCAAGACTGCCGAAGAGGCGCCCAGGACAGCCCCAGACCATCCCAGAACAGGCCCAAGATGGGCCCAAGAGCGGGAGCAGGAGGCTTCCAGAGACCTCCGAGAGGACTCCGGGACCGCACAGAGGCCCCCAACACACCCCCTAGCCCTGAGGGCCCCAAAAAGACCCCGACGAGGCTCCAAGAACAGCCCAAGAGAGCTGCGAGAGCCGTCCCGAGAGAGCCCAAAGAGGGTAAAATCGTTGATGTCCAATGGTTTTTCTAATATTTTTCGCCTTCTCACGTTTTCCCGCTTCCAACCCTCGAAGATCGAGGATTTTTTTCTTGAAGGAATTCCCTGAATTCTTTTTTTTTTTTTTCAAAGTTGGACACTCGGAGATCCCACACATACCCTGACATCTGGCCGGTACCGCGCCTCCCGGCTTCCCGGGGGGCCCCCAACGCCCAAGGACAGCCCAAGACGACCCCAAGGAGCTCCCAGAACGCATAGAACGTCCCAACCGCTCCCGCGCGGCCCGAGACACTCTTCCTACGGCCCTCCAGGCCTCCAGGAGGCCTCCAGAACCCCCAGGGGGTCCGGAAGATCCCGCACCCCTGAGGGGCCCGGCTAACAAAACCCGCAAGGCACAAACAAAAAACAGCGCCGAGGAAGTGGAAAAAAATTGAAATCCCACCAGGGTCCCACCATTATTTTTGTTGTCCAAGTTTGGCCCCCGGTCTACTCTTGCACAACAGACCACACTTCAGACCCCCCTCGTATCCCCAGAAAGAACCCAGCAATCTTTTGAGGGCCCCAAATCGTTGAATACCCCGAGGAAGTTATGATTCCTGCGTTTCCGCATTTCCCCTTCTATGCGATTCTGAGGCTTGCGCAGGGCCTCCAAGGGAGTCCATGGAAGCAAGAAGCGACCAAAATGAGATTACATGAGTTAGCCTATCAAGCCTAGCCAGAGCTTGAGCGCGCGCGAATCGTGCGCGATGGTTCTAGTTGGTATATGTATGTGTGTACATCTGAGAGAACGCGTTTCACGGGCGCTTGCCTGGAGAACATTCGGCGGCGCGTTTCGAACCAGGGGGTGGGCCCTCCCCCCATGGGGAGCCCAGGGGAGGGGGTCATCCCCCCCCCCCCTGGCGCCGGCCCCGGCGCCGGCGACGGCGGGGACGCAGCGACACTTACCACCACTACCACCACCACCACAACTACCACCACCACCACCGCCTCAACCCACCACCACCACCACCACCACCACCAACAGCAGCGCACACCCACCACCGCCACCACAGCCACCACCACCACCACAACTCACCATCACCACCACCACCACCACCACCGCAAATCCCACCACCACTACCACCACCACCACAATCAACCACACCACCACCACCACCGTCACAACCACCACCACTACCAGCAGCACAACCCATCACCACCACCACAAACCACCACACCACCATCACCACCACCACCACCACCACCACCGCAAACCACCGTCGTCCTCGTCGACGCTCCCCGCCACCGCCACCCGCCGCAGCAAGCGCCGGCGCCGGCCCAGAAATAGAAATCGTCGTCCCCGCCGCCGTCGACACAAGCGCCGGCCCGAGGAGAGGGGACGCAGAGGAGGGAGGGGGGGGGGGGGGAAGGGGGGTTTCGAATCCCCCCTCCACTCTCCATCCAGGGGGGGGTCCGGTTTCAAACCCCCCCTTTCCCTCCAAGCGACCACAGAACGCGCTCTTTCATACATTTACATATGTAGTATATGCACAATGCTGGCAAGTGAAATTCATTCGGAAACTCGCCGACCCCAGGCCCCACCAGAATCCAGACGTATTCTCGGTGCGGCTTTCAATCAGAAGCGACTTGTTCGTACACGCGTTGGTCCCAGTCTCCAGTCGAACTCTTGAGTATGAGTTTAAATTCCCGTTCGGACGTCAATGGGAAATGCGCCGATCCCAAACTCCTGCAGGATCCTGACATGTTCTATATGTTTTCCTATCGGGGTACTAAAAGGAAACACGCGGACCCCAGCCTCCAGCAGACTCATTTCATTTGATGTTTGTTCTGTCATTTGGCATTAATCATGGCATGCGTCGGCTCCTGCCTTACATATTCTGCTCGTTGTGAAAACATAAACTCGTTTGGAATAGTCACCTGGCCCGGCCTCCCTCCGGCCTCATATGTTTAATATGTGTTGTTTTGTTGCATATTAACGGATGCGGAGAACTAGTACACGCGCCGATCCTAACCTCCAGAATAGTTATTTAATTTCTCACTTCCTCCCCGTTCGTACTTCAAAAGAAATGCGCCGATTCCAGCTTCCCCGCAGAAGTCTCCGCTGATGTATTTGTAGTGCAATGGAGAATCCACTCGGGAATGCGCCGACCCCAGCCTCCCGCACGTTTATTTAATGTGTTGCTCGTCTCTTGTGTCATTCGGAATCCAATGGCAAATTCTCCGATACCAGTCTCCTGCAAATTTGTTGTGTTTCCTTTTTTTCCATCCGAATTCATTGAACCGGAAATTCATCGGCCCCAGCCCCCGCAGGATTCTTATTATTCTTTAATTGTGTTTCAATACGAATCCCATAGTACATGCGCCGATAATTGTCTCATGTACGTTGCATGTGCGTTCCTCATATGTTGTACAAACGATGCGTATATCTTCATTCGTCCCTCATACGTTTGGCATCCGGGATGCCAGTTACGTTGGGTAGGTACGTGCCAGTTGCGTGCCTTGTGGGTTTGATAGTTGTTGCATACACTTGTAATACACGTTCCGCATGTGGTTGAGGGACGCTACATATGTATATACATATGTATGTACGTGTATATACACGCGTGTGCAAATGTATGTGTATAGGTCAATGTGAATGTACGTGTATCTATATATGCTTATGTAAATGCATATGTCTATGTATATGTACGTGCCTGTGTTTCATACGCGTTCCGCTTACGTAGCGTACACCATCGATTCTCGCATCATACACATGCACGTGCCATGTACTTTCGTATCCGTTATGGATGCGCGCTCAGAAACAACTCATCTACGTGTCACAGATGTTGCGTATGCATTTCTGGTACGTCTGGCATCCGTTTCGCATGCACGTCTGAAGCGTCTTGCACACATTTCGTACGCGCTTCTGTTAACTTCTGGATACGCGCCACATGCGTTTCTTATACGTTTGGTGTGCAAGTGTTGTATACGTGTTGTATGTGTTCGTGTACACTGTTGTCTTGGAGTGCACTGCGCCTATATGGGGGCGTCCTGGAGCTCTTAGAACTCGCATATCTTAATTCAGTGAAGCGGTCTAGATCCCATTTACGCATGGTGAAAGCCGAATGAGCTCCGCCAAGGGATACCATTCAGTTTTACTGCCAAGACGATCATACAATGACAGAGGTATACAGCTGTGTCCGACGGTTTGGGTCTGGACCGTTCCACTTAGCGTACCAGTTGGGAATTGGACCGTCCGGTTGGGATCTGGACCATCCGCCTGGGATCTGACCCCATCGCGGGCAGACCCCCAGGAGGGGTCCAGCGGGGGGTCAGCCTTGCGCGGGCGATAAAAAAACGATGTCGAGGCGATCGACCAGAAGCTGCGCGACGCGGAGGCGGAGGCCCAGGAGGCGGAGGAGCAGCGGGGGCAGCTGCTGACGGAGCAGTGGAGGCAGTCAGGGGCAACGTTAGGGGGGGACAGATTCCCAGGGGGGACGCATCAACTCCCAATCGCCCATTCACCACCGATAGGGGGGCCCGATAGCCCACCCCGCCCAGGAGTGTGCGGATTCGCTATCGGGGGCCTGTCGCCGATCTATTTGGCGATGTGTCGCCGATTCCAGGTCGATACTTCGCCCCCTGCGCTGGCCCCCCCCTAGCGTTCTCCTTCTCAAGGCAGCTGCTGACGGGAGCTGGGGGCGAGGAGGGGAGCGACTCGAAGCAGGCGGACATGGAGGAGCTGAGCTTCCTCCTCCAGAACTACTCGACGCACGACTCCAGCGCAGAGGCCGACAGCCACTTGCAGACGAGCTGGGAGCAGCATTCAAAGAGCCACTCCGGCCGTGGGTCGCTCCTGTCAGTGAGCAGCGCCCCCAGCAGTGACGCTTCTGGCGCGGAGCCCGAGGAGCAGGGGTGGACCTAAACGGTGTTTTGGGCGATTTCGTGGGCCGTTTTCGTTTCGACTTCGTTTTGCGGTAAAGGCGGAGTTGAGACAAAAGCGAGGGAAACCGAAAACAAACGAAAACGAACAACACCGTTTAGGTTCAGCCCTGCCGAGGAGAGCCACACCAGGATCGGGCCGGATGAAAGGGAGGGTAGGGAGAGGGAGGCGTGCGAAACCGGATCGGACAAGAGCGGGAAGCGCCGCGTTAGTCCCATGGGCGCATTGGGCGAAGAAGAAAATCAAGGCGAGGGCGACGAGGAGGCGATGCCGAGGACGGCGTGGAGGACGTGAGGACAGCGAGGAGGAGCACGAGGACAGCGAGGAGGAAGAGAGGCAGCAGGACGAGGACGACGAGAACGAGGGCGAGTGCGAAGAGGAAGGCGGAGGACGAAAGGGAGGGCAGGGAGAGGGGAGGAGGAGGAGGAGGAGGAGGAGGAGGAGGAGGAGGAGGAGGGAGGAGGAGGAGGAGGAGGAGGAGGAGGAGGAGGAGGAGGAGGAGGAGGAGGAGGAGGAGGAGGAGGAAGAGGAGGAGGAGGAAGAGGAGGAGGAGGAGGAGGAGGAGGAAAGAGGAGGAGGAGGAGGAGGAGGAGGAGAGGGGGGTTTACGGAATCTGCTTCAAGGTGGCTGGTCTTGGCCCCGTTGCCTGGTGCTCCCCTCGACGCACCAGCGCCTCCGGCGCCCGTGGGGGAGGGGGGGGGGCGCCAGAGAGAGCAGCCGCATGAGCTGACTCGCAGGGAGGAGGAGGAGGAGGAGGAGGAGGAGGAGGAGGAGGAGGAGGAGGAAGAGGAGAAGGAGGAGGAGGAGGAGGAGGATAGAGAGGAGGGAAGGAGGAGGAGGAGGAGGAGGAGGGGGAGGAGGAGGAGGAGGAGGGGGTCCACAGCGGGGGGGTCCACCTTGCCATGCTGTGCAAGCTCTTGCTCTATTGTTAGGTCTGCCCAGGCTTTGTTTCCCAGCTGCCACAAAGGGCCGGCCGCCGCGGCCTGTCTGCAGGCATCCCTGCTGCTGCTCTGCTGCTGCTCCGCTCCTCCTTTGCTATCCCCCCCCCCTGCTTCGTCCGACTTCACAGGACCCAGAGGAGGGCAGACACGCCTTGGGTGTCAACGCCGTCCAGGAAGATGAGGCGAACGTCCACGCTGCTCAAGATGACGGACATCCGGACGCTGCTTGACCAGGCGGGGACCCTCCACTTTGACGCGATCGCCTTCGCGGGGCTGCCCGCGGTGAGGAGCAAGCCTCTGCAGGTCCTCGGCCAGTTCCTGCTGGAGGAGAGTGGCGACGTGCTGGAGGATCTCCAGAAGCACGGCTGGGTCGAGGACGGCGATACTTTTCGCAGCAGGCTTCCGAGGAGGAGAAGCTTCCGATGCCGTTGCTTCTCCTGCGCCGCCACGGCTGCGTTCGCTCCTGAATCCTGGTCAGAAGTGAAAGCGCTCCGGGCCAGGTCCAGGGAGCGGCAGTAACGATGTCTTCTTGTTCCCCCCCAGGCTCTTCCAGTTTCTGGAGACCATCGGCAGCCTTTATAGCAGGGAGGCCAGCTATCGAAGGCGCCTCCGGCAAATCCGCCGCCGCGCCAGCAGAGCGTTTTGTGTGGAGACCCGTGGGCTCCTTGTGGGCCAGCCTGGGGGGTCCCTTTGAGCACTGTTCGGTCGTCCTTGGGGTTCTTTCGTCTCGAGGCCTTCTTGAGCCGGCTTGGGATCGTTTTGGCGGGTCTCTTGGGGCCGTTGTGGGGCCGCCTTTTGTGGCCCTCGTGGGGCCCTCTTCGGGCCAGCATGGGGCTCTCTCGAGGCCGTCTTGGGCCGTCTGGCGGCCTTCTGGGGGCCCTTGTTTTTCTGGGCCCTCGAAGGCGACACGTGGACAGAGCTTCGACCGAGGAGTCAAGCGAAGTTCGTGGAGACACTCAGAGGGACATCTATGCGTTTGGCTCCCCGAGGGGGTGGCGTTTTAGGCCTCCTGGAGGCCCACTGGCGTCTTGTTGGGAGGCTCCTGTGCGCATGCTCATGTGGTGTTGGGACATCTTGGCGGCCCTGGGGGTCCTCCTTGGGCCCCATGCAGGTGTCGGGCCGCCCAGGAAGCCTCGGACGGCCGATGCACGCAGGGAAGTGCGAGGAGAACTCGGGGAGGTCCCTTGACGACTTCCAGCAACCCTACCAGACAGCAACCTGCAGTCTACCACGCCTCAACAGCGTGCCGGGGGGGCGCGGAGGCGGACCACTCCTGCGCGCACGCGGTGGACGTGACCTCGACGATGGAGTGGTTCGTGCAGATGCCCTTCGTGACTGATCGCACGACGCCGCTGGACCACCTCATGTGCCTGCTGGCCGCAGCGATCCACGACGTCGGCCATCCAGGTACAAACCCGCTGTTCCACGTGACGACCATGTCCGAACTGGCCATCCGCTACAACGACAAGAGCATCCTGGAGAATTACCACATATCCCTCGCGTTCGAGACCATGCTGAAGCCCATGAACAACTGCAACTGGTTCGAGCTGCTCCAGAAGAACTTCAGGCAGGGCGCCTCGCCCTGCGTCAACATCCAGAAGTACATGCGGCGTGGCCTCGTGGCCATGGTGCTGGCGACGGACATGTCGGGGCACGCGAAGCACGTGCAGAAGCTCCACGAGATCGGTGGGGACGAGGAGGCGTGGCTGACGGTGGCCCCCGAGGGGCAGGAGGAGGAGTTCGTGGAGCGGAAGCTGTTCCTGCTGGAGACCGTGCTGCACGCCGCGGACCTCTCCAGCCCCTGCAGGCCTTGCTCCAAAGCGCCATCGTGCCGCCTCGCACCCCGACCCCCCCCCCGGGGTCTCCGCCCGAGGCCCCTGGAGGCCCTGGAGGGGCCAAGGAAGGCCCAGAGCGTCCAGGGCCCAGAGCGTCCAAGAGCGTTCCAGGAAGGTCCAGAGTCTCCTCCTCCTCCTCCTCCTCCTCCTCCTCCTCCTCCTCCCTCCTCCTCCTCCTCCTCCTCCTCCTCCTCCTCCTCCTCCTCCTCCTCCTCCTCCTCCTCCTCCTCCTCCTCCTCCTCCCCCTGCCCGCCCGCCTTGGGCCATCGGACTTCCTGGACGTCGTGCGCGTCGGCGGCCGCCCTCTCGGCGGCGTCCTCCCAGTGTCTGGCGGTGTTCGCCGACCCCCTCCGCGGGGCGAGCTGTGGGTGGAGGAAGAGTCGATGGCCGTGCGGCCTGTGCCCATGCGACCCGCTGGTGTCGCATGGGACACGGGCCGCACGGCCACCGACCCGCTGGTGTCCATGCGACCCGCTGGCGTCCGTGCGACCCGCTGTCTCTGCAGAGCCTTTTCGACACTACAGCTCCATGGAGTGGAGGTGAGCAACAAGTGAAGAATCGACGCTCGAGGATCGAGGGCAAAGCTCGGCAGGCCGCGCAGCATCATGCTCGGCTGGACGCAGCGGGTGCTGGCCGAGTTCTGGTCCCAGGGGGACGAGGAGATCCGCCTGGGGCTGCCCGTGTCGCCCCTCTGCGACCGGCAGGCGGGCCCGTTTTGTTCCGCCCGCTGGTGCGAAGCGGGCAGCTTCCCCAGGCAGTGCCTGCACTCAGGGGTCGCTGCAGGAGAGAAGCAACGGCACACACATAAACTTTCGGAGGTCCGCTCGGATTCCTTGGATCTGCGCTGGGCCCCCCCCCCCGGCGGCGCAACCAGCGCCGATCCAAGAACTCATCGCAGACCTCCGAAACTTTGTGTGTTACGCATTTGTTTTCTGTTCCAGGTAAGGGCTCCGGCCCAGGGTTCTCTTTCAGCTTGCGGGCCACACGCCCTGTACCAGAAGAGTGCCGAGCAGTAGGTGTCGGAATTGGACACATCAAAATGCGTATGCGGAGGGAGGGGGTCTCCAACATGAGTCTCGGCACGCGCGCCTTCTGCACGTGCTGTCACGTGTTTCGGGCCACGACGGGGCCCAACATGCCCCGGGCGCGTGCGCGCGGCGCAAGTACTTTCACGTGTCCACGTGGCCCTAGTGGGGACCCAACGTGGGCGTGGCGAGTTCCCCGCACGTGAAACTGCCTGCGCGGAGGGGGGGGGGCCCAACGGAGGGGGGCCCAGCATGCGCCTTGCGCGTGCGCGCGATTTTCACGTGTTCACGGGGCCCCAGGGGGACCCAATTTGGGGGTGGCGAAATCTTTGCACGTCGAATTACAAAGGGCGGGGGAAGGGAGGGGGGGGACGGGGGGGGGGGGGGGGGGGCAACATGCGCCTGGCGCGTGCGCGCGGAGCACGTGTTTTCGCTTGCTTCGGGCCACGACGGGTCCGCAAACGAAGGACCCAACTTGCAGGTAGCACATTTTTACATATAAAAGGTACGTGCGCGGAGGGATGGGGCAAACATGCCCCTGGCGAGTGCGCGCGGGGCTCGTGTTTTCACATGCCCACGGGGGCAAATTCTTACCACGTGCGCAGAGGGGAGGGGGGGGGGCAACGGAGGGGGGGAGGGGGGGGCAGCATGCGCCTGGCGCGTGCGCGCGGAGCACATGTTTTCACGTGCTTCGGGCCACGACGGGGCCGCAAGCGACGGACCCAACTAGCAGGTGGCCAATCTTCCACAGGTGAAAAACACGTGCGCGGAGGGGGGGGGGCCAGCATGCCCCGGGCGCGTGCGCGCGGGGCACGTGCTTTCAGTGTCCACGGGGCCCCAGTGGGGGCCCAACTTGGGCGTGGCGACTGCTGTGCACGTTAAAAACTAGCTGCGTGCGCGGAAGGGGCGGGCCCAACGGAGCGGGGGCCCAACGTACGCCTGGCGCGTGCGCGCGGTGCTCACGCGTTTTCACGCGTTCCGCGCCACGACGGGGCCGCAAGCGAAGGACCCAATTTGAGGGTAACGGCTGCGGCGATGATGATGTTGCTGCTGCTGCTGCTGCTGCTGCTGAAGATGGTGGTGATGATGATGATGATGATTATGATGATGATGATGATGATGATGATGATGATGGTGGTGGTGGTGGTGATGATGATGATGATGATGATGATGAGGATGAGGATGAGGATGAGGATGAGGATGATGATGATGATGATGATGATGGTGATGATTATGATGATGGTTATGATGATGAGTATGATGATGATGATGATGGTTATGATGATGGTTATGATGATGATGATGATGATGATGATGATGATGATGACGACGACGATGACGACGATGATGATGATGGCGCCGTTACGACAAGTAGCGCGCCGCAGTTTGCCAGACAGGGGAATGATACGTTTTAGGACTACTTCGTATCTTGCGCCGTCTTGTCTATTTCTTCTACTTCTGCTCCTCCTCCTCTTCCTCCTCCTCGCTTTCTCCTCCTCCTCCTCCTCTTCTTGCTGATTCGTCCGGTCTGCGGCTGGCCGCGACCGCTTAGCTCGCAACCCAGCTTCGCGTAACGATTCTTCTAGCTTGCGGCTGACGCGTAACGCGGGTGGGAATTCGTTAGTGTTCCGCCAGGTGGCTTTACGCCCAGCAGTTTCCCCTACAGCCCGGTTGCGCGCCATGGCTCGATTATTGCAGGTTGGCCTGCGCGCTGCTCCTGGTGCTTTGAGTTTCTCCTCCGCCTCTCCTCTGTCCTCCTCCTCCTCCTCGGCCGCTCGCCCAGGCAATGATTGCCACGGACGGCTCCTCGAGTAGGCTCCTGTCTGTTGACGGGGCGGAGGGATTTGTCTGCCCCGGCCGCTTCCTGTACAGAGTCGCGGCGGGTCCTTCGGAGTTTCGTGGTTGCTCTCCACTCCTCCAGGGAGTGTAGCGAGAAAGTAATATGATGGTGATGATGATGATGATGATGATGATGATGATGATGATGATATGATGATGATGATGATGATGATGATGCTGATGATGACGATGATGATGGTGATGGTGATGGTGATTGTGATGGTGATCGTGGTGATGCTGCTGATGCTGATGATGATGCTGATGATGATGCTGCTGGTGGCGGTGGTGCTGATGATGATGAGGAGGATGCTGAGGGGGATGCGGGTGGTGATGATGCTGATGTTGATGGTGATTCTAAAGCTGATGATGGTGATGATGATGATGATGATGGAGATGATGGTGATGATGGTGAGGATGATGACGATGGTGTCGATGATGAGGACTACTATGATGATAGTGGTGATGATGATGCTAAGTATGCTGATGATGATGATGCTGATGATGGTGACGAGGATGATGGTGATGCGGATGCTGAGTACAATGTGTATGAGTGTGATGATGGTGATGGCGATGATGTTGATGATGTTGATGCTGATAATGATGTTGATACTGGTGATGTTGATTATGATTATGATGTTACTCACAATGGTGACAATGAGTTCGATATTGACGGTGATGAGGATGAGGGAAGTTATGAAAATGCGGTTGACGATGATGTTGACGACGACGACGACTGCAATGATGATGATGATGGTGGTGATGATTATGATGATGGTTATGATGATGAGTATGATGATGATGATGATGATGGTTATGATGATGAGTATGATGATGATGATGATGATGATGATGATGATGATGATGGTGATGGTGATGGTGATGGTGATGGTGATGGTGATGGTGATTGTGATTGTGATGGTGATCGTGATGATGCTGTTGATACTGATGCAGCTGAGGAGGATGTTGCTGCTGCTGATGGTGGTGATGATGGTGATGGTGATGATGCTAATGCTGATGGTTATGATGATGAGGATGATCATCATGATGCTGATGCTGCTGCTGATGCTGATGCTGATGATGACGATGGTGAGGAGGAGAAGGAGAAGGAGAAGGTGGGGCGGGTTGACTGAGAACGTCGACTCGGGAAGAGGAGGAGAAGGAGGCGGGTGGCAGCCTGGCCGAACGACTAACAAGGGACGGGCGTCGCTTTGCAGGAGTGGAACGACGATGAGGAGGAGGCAGGTGGTGGCAACAGGAGAGGTCGGACGGAAGGTTTGGCTGGTGTGACAGGAGGAGGCAGGTGTGGCATGAGGAAGGGGAAAGGAGGACGGAGGAGGAACGGGGAGGAGGAGGAGGAGGAGGAGGAGGAGGAGGAGGAGGAGGAGGAGGAGGAGGAGGAGGGCGAGGAGGAGGAGGAGGAGGAGGAGGAGGAGGAGGAGGAGGAGGAGGAGGAGGAGGAGGAGGAGGGGAGGCGGAGGAGGAGGAGGAGGAGGGAGAGGAGGAGGAGGAGGAGGATTAGGAGGAGAAGGAGGAGGAGGAGGAAGAGGAGGAGCAGGAGGGGGAACAGGAAGAGGAGGAGGATGAGGGCGGGAGGAGGAGGAGGATGACTAGGAGGAGGAAGAGGGTGGGAGGAGGAGGAGGAGGAGGAAAGGGAGGAGGAGGAGGAGGTTGAGGAGGAGGAGGAGGAAGAAAGCGAGAGGAAGAGTGTGGGAGGAGAAGGAGGAGGAAGAGGAGGAGGACGAGTAAGAGGAGGACCAGTGTAAGCCAAAGGCTCATCAACGATGTTGGAATGCGACCCTCCCTCCAAGCTCCCTCTTCACAGGTCCCTGCAAGGGTTCATCTCCACCGAGGGAATTGCCCCGTTGGGGGGCAACCGTGCGAACATCCTGACTTCAACGCCACGAGTTAACCTGACTGTTGCGCCTTGGCGACCCTGAATTGTGCAAAGACACAATTCCTGGGACTTCACCACCGCGAATCAACGTACTCAACTGCTGCGCCCTGGCAGCCCCGAATCGTTCCAACACGCAATTGCTGATACATAGGCCATGAGCATCAGGCAAACCATGGCAAATGTTTAAAACGAATGCGCGCGGCGCTAAGACGAGAGCCACAGTTCGAAATTGACCCCCCTCAATTCGTGAAACTCTTTCGGGTTCAATTCCGAGTGACCCAGCGCTAAGTCGAGAGCCACATCTTGAAAGCTACCCGCCCTCAATCCGTGAAGCTCTTGCAGCGTGTTAGAACGAATGTGCGCGGTGCTGAGGCCAGAGCCACATTTCGAAAAGCACCAGCCCTCAATCCGAAGCTCCTGCAAGGTTTTTACATGAATGTGCGCAGCGCTAAGGCGAGAGCCACACGTTGAAAACGACCAACCCTCAATCCCTGCAGCTCGCGCAACAGTTTTAGATTGAATTGAATGTGCGCGGCGCTAAGGCGAGAGCCTCATGTTGTAAACGACCCTCCCTCAACCCGCGAAACTCTTGCCAGCTTTTAAGCTTCAGGCCCATGAGTGGTAAGGACGGCTCAGGCGAAACGCCCAGTCTGCTCTTCCGACTGGCCTCGGGGTAAGACAGGTAGGAGTTATGCATAAGGGAAAAGAATGGAGGAGGAGGAGGAGGAGGAAGAGAGGAGGAGGAGGAGGAGGAGGAGGAGGAGGATGGCGGGAGGAGGAGGGCGAGGAGGAGGAGGAGGAGCAGAAGCAGGAGCAGGAGCAGGAGCAGAAGGAGCAGAAGGAGCAGGACATGCAGGCGGTAGCGGCTGCAGACAAGCAAGTGGAGAGTGGCGCACGCGCGCCAGAAGAAGGTTTGACTCCAGTTCCTCACCGGGCTCGTGGAGCCCTCTAGTCATTCGAACTCAGGGGTCAGTCGAGCAAGGACCGTGTGGGGCTCAGGAGGGTCCCTGGTTCTCGGGCCGCTCCGCAGATCTAGGCCGGGGGGGCCTGTTCGTGGCCGGAAGCCCCCTGGTTCCGTACAGATCGCTCTTGGTGTACCCCCCCCCCCGCCCGCAAGCCGTCTCGCTCACTCCCACCCGCCCTCCCAACCTATACGTAGCACCCGAGTCTGGCCCGAGCCTCAGCATATTCAGCAGTCGTCTTTGGATGGGTAGCTACTGGGGGCCAATCCGCCGCCGCCGCCGCCGCCTCCGCCTCCGCCGCCGCCGCCGCCGCCGCTGCCGCCGCCGCCGCCGCCGCCGCCGCAGCCGCTGCCGCTACCGCCACCGCCGCCGCCGCCACCGCTGCCACCGCCGCCGCCGCCGCCGCCGCCGCAGCCGCCGCAGCCGCCGCCGCCGCCGCCGCCGCAGCCGCCGCCGCAGCCGCCGCCGCCGCCTCCGCCAAGTGTACTCTGTATTGTTTTTTGACAGGGATGGTGGGGGGGGAGCGCATCGGGTTGGCCTCGCATGTTCCGAATTTGGAGGCAGAGTGTGTTTTGTATGGTTTTTTACAAAGGATTGTGGGGGGGTGTCGTCATTGACCTGGGTTGGCCCCCAGTCGCCTGGGGGAGGGGATGTTTATTAATAGGGAACAGTGATCGAGCTACACACCCGCCCACAAGCCGTCTTGCTCACTCCCACCCGCCCTCCCGACATACAAGTAACACCCGGATGTCAGCATATCGCGCACGGGTTCCAGATGCACCAGACCCTGGAGGCCCAAGTGTGCCAGCGCGACAGGTGCGGCACGTGCCAGGGGCGCCAGCAAGGCCAGTTGAAAACTTGGCCTTGCTGGCACCCCTGGAGTCCAGATCCAGTTTTTCTGGGATCCCGTTCGTTTCACACGAACAAATTCATACAACCGCTTGCTTGTAAGAGCGTCTTCGGATTTCGACGCTGCGGCCTCGTGGTCCTGGTTTCCGGTCGTCTCTTGGCCCATCACTTTTGGGGCCCTCGTGGGCGCCACCCGCGACCCACCCCGCGACGCACCCAAAATTTTCGGCGCCGGCGGCGGGCTTCTTCTGCATGCGTTTCAGGTGGAGAACCTGCGACCCACCCGCGACCCAAACCGCGTTCAGTGTACAAATCAAGATTTTCGGCGCCTGCGGGCTGTTCTTGAAGTCCTTTCAGGTGGAGGTGGAGAGTCCGCGACCCACCTGCGACCCAAACTACGTTCACTGAACAAGCCAAAACTTCGGCGCCTGCGGCGGGTTTCTTTTGCAGTCGCTCCAGGTGGAGAACCTGCGACTGAAACCGCGTCCAGTGTACAAATCAAAATGTTCAGCGCCTGCGGCGGGCTGTGTTTGAATTCCTTCCAGGTGGATGTGGAGAGCCCGCGACCCACCCGCGACCCAAACTACGTTCACTGAACGAGCCAACCAGAGTCGCCCGCGTCGCCCGCGCCCGCCCCCTCACTCTTATCCGCAATTGCGGGGTGCTACGTATTTATAGGGAGTGATCAGGACACCCCCTAGATAGCAAGCCGCTTAGCTCACTCCCACCCGCCCTCCCAACACATCAGTAACACCCGAACCTGAGCATGTTCAGCGGTCGTCTTTGGATGGACAGCTACTGGGAACTAAAACCGACCCCATGTACGCGACGCTGGGGCGAGGTGCGCCACGTGCCAGGCGCGCCAGGCACGCCAGGCACCCCTGGGGCCCGAGCGTGCCAGTCACGCCTGGTGCGCCAGATGCGCCACGTGTTCCCCGTACGCCAGGTGCGCCGCATACTCCAGCCAGCCGCGCCAGGTGCGCCACGTTCGGGACACGTGCAGATTGTGTCAGGTGCGCCTTCGCACGTGGCAAAGCACATCGGGAAACATGTCGGCCCCCACCATCCTTGTCGAAAACCAATGCCCATCATCTTGTCTGGTGGGCCTGCGCACAGCAGGCCATACGCCACCAGCCGCGCCGTCCCTGCCAAAAACCACTTGACAGTGATCGCGGGTTGGCCGCCCATGATCCAGATTTAGCCGCGAGGTGCATGTTGTATCGTTTTTCCCTACCTAGGCTCTGCCTAGAAGGGTTCTTACTCTCTTAGCTTAAAGGGGCCGGGCAGTGGAACACGCCCCGGGCGGTTCCCCCAGTCCCTTGGGAGCGGTTCCCCCCAGTCCCCTGGGAGCTTTAGCTTTAGTTTTAGCTTTAGCTTTAGCTTTAGCTTTAGCTAAAGCTAAAGCTAAAGCTTAGCTTGAGCTTAGCTGTAGCTTAGCTTTAGCTTAGCTTTAGCTTAGCTTTTCGCTTAGCGTTTAGCTTAGTTTTAGCTTAGCGTTTAGCTTAGCTGTAGCTGAGCTTTAGCTTAGCGTTTCGCTTAGCTTTTCGCTTAGCGTTTAGCTTAGCTTTAGCTTAGCTTTAGCTTAGCTTTAGCTTAGCTTGAGCTTAGCTTGAGCTTAGCTGTAGCTTAGCTTTAGCTTAGCTTTAGCTTAGCTTTTCGCTTAGCGTTTAGCTTAGCTTTAGCTTATATTTAGCTCAGCTGTAGCTTAGCTTTAGCTTAGCTGTTGCTCAGCTGTATCTTAGATTTAGCTTAGCTTTAGCTTAGCTTAAGCTTAGCTTTAGCTTAGCTTTAGCTTAGCTTTAGCTTAGTTTTAGCTTAGCTGTGACTTAGCTTTAGCTTAGATTTAGCTTAGCTTTAGCTTAGCGTTACTGTTACTACTAATGCTGCTTTCCTAGGGGTTCCAACTCCTAGGTAGGGTCGCACTGGGATAATTTGGTTAGGGGTGATAGCCCTGGTTAGGGGTGATAGCCCTGCGCACAGCAGGCAATATGCTGACACCCCCGCTGCCCCTGTCAAAACAATACAAAGTGCTCGCTGCCTCACGAACATGATTCAAAACTTTGCCCTAAACTGTATTTTGTATTGTTTTGACAGGGATGGTGTGGGGAGGGGGGGGCGCGTCGGGTTGGCCGCGCATGCTCCAAATGTAGAGGCAGAGTGCGTGATGCATGGTTATTTGACAGGGATCGTGGGAGGGGTAAGCATGGGGTCCTCATGGTTCCTGGTTGGCTGCCGGTCGCCTGGAGGATAGGGGGTGTATACTAATCAGGAACAGTGATCTGCCGGTCGCCTGGAGGATAGGGGGTGTATATCAATCAGGAACAGTGATAACCCCTCCCCGAAGGGGAAGAAGGGGGTTGGAAGAGGAGCTTCCCTAGACCACATACTCCCAGAGGGCTCGTGGGACTTACGGCTCGGGGCCCACACTGGCAAAGATTATTATGGGTATCTTGGTAAGCGTGGGGGGGGTACCCCCCCGACGAGGGTCAACCTCGCCTCGTCGTCGCGCCGCGACGGGGGTCGGAGCGCCTTCGGCGCGCGGTGGCTACCCGCGACGGGGGTCGATGTGGGACTGTCGGCGGGAGTGACGTCCCCCCGACGCTTATTAAGAAACTCGGAGTGCACTTGAAGCTGTAAAGACATGCTGCGACTGGCAGGCGGGCCTCGCGACGGTGCCCAAGGGCCAGCTCGGCTTCCTGCAGTTCGTGGTCCAGCCCTTCTACACCCAGATCGCCGAGCTGATGCCCGAGGCCCAGGAGGCCACCGAGCTGATGACGCAGAACAAGGAGTTCTGGGAGAACATGGAGAAAGATAAGGCCACGTATGACGAGATCTTTCCCGAGTAGCGGCGCCGCGGGGCCGCGCCGCGCAGCTGCGCGGGCCGCGCTCACCCACCGAGGCGCGCGCGAGCGCGGTGTGGCGCCGCTTCCGTTTTTGCTGTTGCTCTTGCCGCCTGCTTCACCATGCCCGGCAGTCAATGTCTGGAGCCCGCCCTGCGCAAAGCCCGCGGCTCACCAATACCACGCGGGCTCTTGGGACGCAGCCTCGGGCTCCTCAAGCTTCTCGTGCCCGCCTATGTGTCCGCCGCGCCGAGGCGCGCGCGCTACTTTTTCCTCCGCCTGCGCGACGGGGCGCGAAGGCGCCCCTCGCGGCCGAGCTGCGGCCAGAATCGCCAATAGACTTTTGAGTGGGTCTGCCGAGCGTGCGCGCGTGCTGCAGAAGAGGCGGCGGGAGGGAGAGCGCGGGGAGGGTGTCGGTTCTCTCCATTTCTACATATTATTGGTACCCGCCGGTGACCCCTGGAGCGGTGCTCCATGGGTCACCTGGCGTTAGTTTGATCAGCCCCCCAGGGCCGACCGGACCTGGGGGGGAGGGCGGCGTCGGTACGACTCGTTCGCCATCAGCGCATTAGCATATCAGCCAACAGGGGGACAAGGAGGACCGGGAAGGAGGAGGTCTTTGGCCGAGAGCGCGCGCGAGCGGTCTTTACCCTCACGTGGCCCAGCGCTCTCAGCCGAGCGGGCCAGGCCACCGCGTAGCCCACCACTCGAAAGTCCAGGCTGCCGGCTCACAGTAACGGGCCGACTGCGCGGACACTCGGGCGTCAGCTGTCCGTGCAAGGCACTGCGTGAGCGCTGGTGAGGCCTCGGGTTGCGCACAGATCGTCAACCCCCCCCCTGAGGTAGTCCCGGTTGGAGGCCCCCCGCGCAGTCCTGGGCGGTCTCAACACCTTGGGTGGTGGTGTCGAGACCGCCGCAGACTACTCGGGGGGGGCCCGTCGAAGCCAGCCAGGGCGACCTGGGGGAGGCTGCCTGTGCGCAGCCCGAGGCCTTACCGGTGAGCGCCCACCCTGGCCTGGCCCATCCTCTGCCCAGGCAGGATCGGCCTGGCCAGAATTGGTGCACACACTTCTCATTGCCCCACTGCCGCCATCGGTGGCCTCTGTCAGACGCTGGGCCTGCGCAGCACTACCCATCGGAGAGCACCGCCCGTAGACCTGCACCGAACCTGGCCAGGCCGATCTTGGGCTCAGGATCGTTGTTTGTGCCTTCCTGCCCCCCCTGCCAGGGGGGGCACGCATGTCCTGTGCCCGGCCTGACCAGGATCTGCATGACCCGGCACCCGCGCCGCGGCAGGTGCCTGCCGCGGCCTGCGGCTCGGGGGCGCTGCCCGCTGACCCGAGGCGCCCTGTGGCCTCCGCCAGGTGTCCAGCTTGCGGAGGGCAGCGACTGCACACCTATACCGGCCCTGGCCAAGCCGAGCCTGGGCCCGCTGCCCCCTTCGCTTCGCGCTGCGCCCGCCGCGGCGCTCTCCCCTCGCACCCCTCCCACCCAGGCCGCCGGGGCACGGACGGCCACGATCGGCTGAGCCGGCGCGTCCCGGGGGCACGGCTCTTCCGGAGGCTCGCTTCGCCTTCCGCTGTGTTCGACTCAGCGCTCTCGCCTCGGTTGCGGCATCGCGTGTCTTCCCGTGCTTCGTCGCTGGGCCCCGTTGCTCTTGGGCCGTGCTGGGCGTCGGCTGTGGGGCTCTTGGGAGGCTGCGCCGTGGGGCGCGCGTCGGTGGTCCGCACCCTTCTCTCGCGAGTGGGGTGCGTCAGGCCCCGGGAGGTGCCCGGCTTGCGCCGTGTTCCCCATCGGAGCGCACCAAGTATACACCCGCACCGATCCTGGCCGGGGCCGAGCTTGGGCCCAGGATGGGTGTACGTGTCGTCGTGTCCGAGCACCGGGGTGCGCAGGCTCCGATGCTGGGCCCAGGATGGGCTTGCCAGGATCGGTGCAGGTGTACAGTTGGCGCCCTCTCGTGCCACCTGCCTCCGCCATTTGCCCGTCCTGCGCCGTGCTCTCCAGGGCCGGCACCTGCGCGGGGGCCTTGCAGTGACCAGGCGCATCCGTTGAGAAGCTGGCCTACCAGTGGGTGCCCTGCAGAAGTGTCTTGCTCCTTGGAGGCCCCTGGAGCTTGCTGAAAAGTCCTGCGCAGCTTGGGAAGCCCAACGCCGACGAAGAGCACGGCCCTGTCTCACAGCAGTGCTCGTTGCCGCACGTGCGTGCCCTCGGTGGTGCCACCAGGGCCCATGGGCCCACCTGCGCAGGAAGAGACCCGGCTGTGCTCCCATAGAGATCGTGTGCGTGTTCTACCCGCACCTCACCTTTTCCCCAGTGCGCCCCCCGTTCGTCACCCAGCCGCGGCGACGAGGGCAGGACGGGTGGCCGCGTCTGAGCGACGCCAGGGCCGAGAGCGAGCGAGCGCCCGTGGCTCCCCACGTTCGGGCCGCCGGGCCCTCCACAGGCGGGTCACGAAATCTGCTGCATGCAGCTGGTTTCGGCACCGCCACCGGGCCCATTCCTCGATACATGGCCGCCTCCCAGCGCCGGGAGGCGCCGGGAAAATCAGCTACGCGGGCTCATTCTCGACCCCCCCCTTTGCTATCCCCCCCTTTCGCCCGGCCCGACCATTGGCCTACCTGACCATGTTCCAAGATCCTCTTGTGGTTTCCACGAACTGTTCTCAGAACATGTCCGGCTGGGACTGTCCTGCCTGCTGTAGCACATCGGGTTGATGTTCTGAGGACATTGCGCCTGGTCTTAGAGCATTTGTGGGTTCTAAGAGCATGTCGCGGTAGGACTATAGGAATGCTGGGACGGTCGGCCCCTGCTCAAAAGGGGGGGGCGATCAGTTGGGGGGGCGGGGGGCGCGAGAGCTCCAGAAAAGGGCCCTCCTCTCTTCGAAGAAGAGCCCCCCCAAAAAAATACATAAAGATACACTTGTGCCGCTCCGTGCGGATTTCTCGGATCCGCGCTGGGAGCCTCCTGGCGGCGCCTCCGGCGCCGCCCCTGGCGCGCTCCGCGCGCCGGGGCCCCGACCCCGAGCGCCAGGAGCGCTGCCGCCCTCGGCTGCCCTGGCGCTCACGAAGGGGCCCCGCCCTCCGGGAGGCTCGGCGCGCTCGCTCCGCTGCCCCGCCTCGGCCCCGCGCTGCGCCCGCCGCGGCGCTCTGGCCTCGCACCCCTTGCGCCCAGGCCGCCGGGGCACGGGCGGCCACGATCGGCTGCGCCGGCGCTGCAGGAGGCTCGGCCCTCCCGGCGGGGTCCCGTCGTTCTCTCGCCTTCGGTGTCGGTATCGGCTCGGCGTCCCTGGCCGCCGAGTGTCGAAAAAGCCCACGGATGCACGCGGGGCGGCTCCCGGCTCTTCGCCGCGCCGTCCGAGGCGGGGCTGTGCTGGGCGTCGGCTGGGAGGCTCGTGGGCGGCTGCGCCGTGGGCCGCGCGCTGGTTCCCGGCACCCTTCTCTCGCGATGTGAGTCCCAATGTGAGTCCGAATGTGAGTCCCTGGCCCAATGTGAGTCCCAATGTGAGCCCCAATGTGAGTCCCAATGTGAGCCCCAATGTGAGCCCCAGTGTGAGTCCCAGTGTGAGTCCCAATGTGAGTCCCAATGTGAGTCCCAAGTGGGGTTCGCCTGGCCTCAGGAGGAAAAAACACACAGGCACAATGAATCGTCGATCCCCCAGAAAATATAGGAGAATATGGGAGGTGGGGGGAAGACCAAAACCCAGAAAATATAGGAAAACATGGGGAATCCTGTTATTTGTGTCCCAGGGCCCCTTCATGGCCCCCTCGCGCTCGCCGCACTCGGGTCCAGCTCGATCCCGGGACGGTCGCCAGCCGTGGGTGCCCTCCTCCGAGTCTTCGCCGTCGGTGCCCCCATCCGGTGGCACCTTCCCCTGGGCTCCTGCGTGCCTGCGTGGGGAACCCCCACCGTCGCCCGCCGAGGACTCTCCCCCCACCCGTCGGGCAGGGACCCCGCATGCGGGCGAGGGCCCCTCCGGCGGCGGCCAGGCTGGGTCTCCGCATCCCGTCCGAGTGGGTCGGCGTCGGCCGTCCAAGCCCCGGCCCACTCCTGGGCGCGGGAGGGGTGCCGTCGCTTGACAGGTCCGTTCCCGCAGCCCACCCTGACGCATCCCTTGAGAAGGGGATCGGCTACAGGATCGATCCACCCCAAGATTAGTTGTTCAGTCGATCTGCGGCAACATGCAGGATGCTCCGCAGACATACGAAACATTATGAGCCTTCGTTCGTAGATTCGACAAACAAATCAAATGTGGGCACAGTGGAGACCCTTGCGAAGGAATGCCTTGCTCGCCTCCAGGGTGCCCTGGGTTTCTGGGGTCCAGACGGTTTTGCCATGGAAAAAGCATGACGTTCCCACACGACAAATCAATTGGACGTCCTGGGGTCTCAGGGTTGACATTCTTGTGGAAGGTTTGCAGCCTGAGCAGCTTCGCCAGGGGACGCGGCGCGCGGGCCCACAGCATCTTGGAGAGGGTGGGGCGTCGGAGTGGGTCTGGGAGCTGTGATGCGGGGTGCGCAAGCCGAGCCCGCCGCCTAGAGACCGAATAGCCTGTGCTGATACTTTGCTTCTGCGGCAAATGCTGGTCGTCGATGCCGGACAGATCGCTGTTCGCAGGATGCGGGTGGCCATGGCAGCGCTCGAACAGACGGCATCCCAGGGTGGAGTTGAAATCAAGGGTGCGACGCGTCGCGGCAGCTCGCAGACGCCGGGGCCGAGGTCGACGCGGGGGAAAGGCTATCTGGAGAAGGCGATTGCGGACGATTGCGTGAGCGTGCAGGTGTCCAAGGACGTGGCCTCTTCCAAGGAAGAGGCAAACAGGGCGGCGCGCCACCGTTGCGCGGACGAGCGTCGCAAGGTTCGTGGCGTTGCGTCCTGCAGCAGTTCAGCCTTGCAGGGCTGATGTCGTGTGGCGCGACAGAGGCGCCTACCTATGACATGCTTTGCCTGGCGGCCCGCTGGGCCAGCCCGGCGGATGAGGTGACTTGGCACATGGGGTGTTCAAG